GTACTGGTACCACTAGGTTCAACAGCGGACATGATAGTGTATTTCCCTGCTCAGTTCTCTGTTACTTTTAAATAGTTCTGAAACATCCCCTTTGTATCCGCACTCTACATTCGACTTTCCTTATTGTTATTTTAGTTAATTTTGCCAATCATTTTGGCATTCTTTATTTGTTCATGGCCAAATATAATTAAGGTCTGTCAACAGTATCATTTGCTACCCTTAAGTCTATACGAAAATGTAATAGCAGTATATATTATACTTCGTCGTTTTTCCAATATTTGTCTGATATGTGATCAGTAGTAGATCTGATTTTCAAAAAGCCTCTTTGGTAGGATCCTGCACTATACTATAACGTCAGTATATTATCCCAGTACTTGTTAAACTGTTTATTCGGGCTATAAGGCCGTTGTCTTCTGAGATTAGTTCTCGATGTTTCGCCAACACTAGGGGTTGGTATCTTCTGGAGATGTTAATGCTTCGCTTCAACGTGTTTGTTGTTTTGAATGGTGTTGAAATATTAAATTTATTTCCTATCCTCTTAAGTTTTTCTGATAATCCTTTTATGTATGGTATTGTTATTTTCCTCGTATTATTCCTTGTCTACGCTGTATGATTTCGTTCTAAGTTGTTCTGTTCTATTCGATCGATTGTTGAAAATTCCTTATTTATAAACGATAAAGTCTTTACGAAAGGCTGGAAGTTTACACAGTGGGCATAGTTGGTAAATATCAAGCTGGATTCACTCCAGAAAAATCAACAATTGACCAGATTCGTTGAATAAAACAGATTCTCGAGAAAACATTAGAATTCAATATTGAAACCCATCACCTATTCGTCGACTTCAAGGCCGCATACGACAGTGTCAAGAGAACAGTGCTATACCAATCAATGCATGAGTTTGGTATACCAGAGAAACTTATCCGATTAACAAGAATGACAATGTCTAACTTAGAAGCCACTGTAAGAGTACAGGGAGAGAATTCTAGATCCTTTGAGATAAAGGATGGACTCAGACAATGGGATGCTCTGGCTTGCCTCCTTTTTAATATTGCCTTAGAAAAGGCAGTCCGAGATACACGAATTAGGGATGGCGGCACTATTTACAATATACCGATACAAGTCTTAGCATATGCTGATGGCATTGATATAATAGGGCGTAGCAAGCGAGATGTTGAGCAATATCTCCTAGAATTGGAAACAGAGGCGAAACAGGTCGGTCTAGTCATCAACGAAGACAAAACCAAGTACATGTTGGTTACAAAGGATCCGATAGCAAATGAGGAACGAGAAACAGTCTTTGGAAGTCATACCTTTGGACGTGTTGACAACTTCACATTCCTTGGGTGGCTATTGACTGCTACCAATAAAACAAGCGAAGAAATCAAAAGACGAATAAATCTTACAAATAGGGCATACTGTGGATTCCAAAAGCATTTCCACTCAAGAAACATTCAAAGAAGAACTAAAATTATTATATACAAAACATTGCTGAGGCCGGTCCTCACATATGGACCAGAAACATGGACTCTAACGCAGAAAGATGAAAGACTTTTGGGAATATTTGAGCGTAAAATACTCCGCAAAATATTTGAAGCTATAAACGACCAAGGGCACCGGCGCAGAAGATATAATTTTGAATTGTATCAGCTCTTTGATGAGCCAGATGTCGTAACGTTCATTAAAAAACAGCGACTTAGATGGGCTGGACACATAATACGAATACCAGAAAATACGATTGCTAAAAAGCTAACCACAGGAACACCTCTAGGAAGAAGAAGAAAAGGCCGACCGCGAATTAGGTGGTTAGATGGAGTTGAAACTGACTTACGGATATTAAAAATCAGAAGATGGCAACATGTTGCCAGAAACCGAACATAATGGCGACGAATCTTAGAGCAGGCCAAGATCCACAGAGGATTGTCGAGCCAAAGATGATGATGATAAACGATACAGGATAATCATTTTTTAATAAAACATATGTTAACAAATGTTTTTCTTCCAAGACCGAATTTTCGTTAGTAAAGTAATTTTGGCTCTATCGTATAAGGATTTAATGATTCCCATTTTAATATTAATATTGTGATTTTATTTGAAATTTAAATATCTCTTGGTATGTGTTGGTTTTCTATACACCTGAGTCTCATATCTTAGATCATATTCTTAGAGATCATATTCTTAGAGATTAAAACATCCAGGAAAGGTAGTGTGTTATTATGTTCCTTTTCCATGGTAAATGTTATTATCTCTTCTTTCTAGTTTATATCATTTAGGAATGTGTCCAACAACTCTGATTACAATCACAATTAACAACTCACTGTCCAGTAATATCTGTAAATGGTCATTCAAAGCTCTTTTTATATTAAACTGCCCTCTTTTGGTGTCTCGCTACTCTTGTTAAGCAATACCAGCTTTGTCGATATTTTCCGACCAACTCGTTGCTATTTCTGCAATCGTTACCTATTCCAATTTATATTTTTATCTTTAATTTAGCAAACGAACGAAATTATTATTTCAATTATTTATTTCAATGCGCCTTCTTAATTTGACTGCCTTTCAAATGACCACCAGATCTAGCCATTTGTTTCGTTTTCCAAAACAATGAAATTTGATAATTTTAATAATTAAAAACACGTTTTCGGTTTTAAGTTTTAAAAAGAAATTGTCAAGTTGCTGGTGTACAGGTGTAGCGGGGCGCGCGATGTAGTATACAAACGAGTTTTAGCTCAGGTGCATACCGTTATAAATACAGCTATAACTGTTTCTTTTTCGAATTTATTAATAAAATTTTAGAATAATAGTTCTACGATACTAAGGAATTTTTTGAAAATCTAGAAAGTAAAAGACCTCTTGAATAGGTTTTAAAATTGCTTTATTGTGACATATCTACTTTAAATATTATCTTTATTTGGCATTAAGCCACAATAATTGATGTTGCTTAAAAGTTTTAAGTTTAGATTTCTACTACGGAAATCGCTTTCAAAAAAGATTATTTTTAAAAATTCTGGAAAATATATTGGTATAACCAACGAATTGTGGGTAGATTGACGCCATTTAAAATTGACACACTTGGTCTCGATCTTGTAGACGACAGCATGCTGATGGTTGAAGAAATTTTTGAGTGTGGTGTTTTTATCCTCAGAATATCAAATTCTGACTGTTTTGCGTATTTTTTTATGTTATATGTTTGTGTAGTGCGTATCGTAGTCGTAGTTGTATAACATGTAACATGATTATATGATTGTGTATTGTCTGTTACATATGTATTTTGTGTTAATTTGTAAGCTATTTCTCCGTTTCCTATTACTCCGTTATTGTGGGTATGTTCTTATTGTTGACTTGTTTAGTATTGGGAACCAAAGCCTGCTACATCATCCTGATTGCTACACATTTTTGTTTGATTAAGTAGGATGAGAGCTACTTCTTTGACTTTGCTCTTTTTCATGTCTGTTTCTTTCATGATTATTGTTGCATGTCTCCATTGTACTCTCTTCTCGATCATAAATGGTTGTATATCTGGGATCTGTGAAAGTCTCTGTTCTTAATGCATATTTCATGCTCGTTTATCCTGATACTTAGTGGTCTTGAGGTGTCTCCCACGTAGAAATTATTGCATTCATATTGCATAGCTTGTTTTGATTGTTGTTATACTTGTTTCCCATACTTTTAAATTTTTCCGATAAACCCTTTACGTATGGTATTGTTGTCATCTTTGAGTCCCTTCTTGTGAATATTTTTACTTTGTTAAAACAAAAAAACTACAAAACCTTTGTTAACAGGTTTTTTATTCCTGTAATACATGTGAAATTGTACAAAATGTAAATTTAACTAAATAAATTGTGGCTTAATCCTGTATAAGGATAATATTTAACAAAGCGTGTTGTAAAAACAAACTATATCCCACATATCATAATATTTTGCTGAACGCCACTGATAATATCTGTACACTGTACACTACTCGCCTAGAATTGAAGATTTTCTCCTCCTTTCAAGATGAAGGATTTAATTCAAAAAAATGGGGATTCTTTTATGATAATAAAACTACGGTCAGATTAAATAAAAATGCTAAATAAAAGGCTCTCCGGGGAATTAATAACTTTCGACCGTAATGCTATGTTAAAGCTGACGGAAAACAAAAATGGAAACAACAAAAATTTTTCACGCAATAATTCGCTAGCTTTAAAGTTAATATAATGTCAGTAAATGTGATATCTTGCATTTAAATAAATATTTATAGAGGAATGTTATATGTAAATTTAGTCTGAGTAGTTGAACTTTATTAGTTAATTAATTAACAAAATTCCCAATGATGTTAAATACGGCTACAACACGGTAATGTTGAAGAATAAAATTAAATCCTTACAAGAAAAATATTTTTAATAAAAAAAGACAAATATTTTTCAATAAAATAATGTACTACAATTCTTTTTTAAAAATTGTAATACTATAATACATAATAGTTAAAATTATAAGCCTTTTCAAACAAACAATTATACATCTGAGTGAACATTTTTTCTTAGTTTTTTCCTTCTGAATGTCGTTTTTATCAGTTTTTATCCTTTAATTTCCTTTAACCACAACCATTAAAATTTCGGCAAATTTAGTACTGTAGTCATTCATCCAACGTGAACATTTGATACATTTGATTTAATCTTCTGTTAGTGGTTTGGGCGTAATCTTCATAAAAACCTATTTCAAATATAATAAAAACAAATTCGTTTTCATTAAAACAAAGTAAATCATCTTCAAAATCACTGTCCTTACAAAACGGAGATGCACTCTGGGGTTTTACTAGTAGGACTTTTAAGTAGGCTGAACTTTACTTTATTTTAAATCTTTCTTGTTCATTTTCTCTCTGTGTTTCTAACTGAGTTTATCATTTCCTTTTTTCTTGTCTTCTATGTTTTTCTTCTTTTTTTCTCTTCTCTTTTTCTCTTCTTGTTTTATTTTACTGTATGACTCTTTTCCATTTTTTTCTTTGTAAGGGCAATTATGTTATCCATTTAAAAGTTTGCTATAGTTTGAGATTTGCTTTTCAAAGTCTTAACTTTGTTGACACAAGGCACTGGATGTATTTTGTCCAATAATATCAAGGATGTTACATTTTCAGATAGGCCTATAGACTCAATATCGTACTGTTTTGACAATTCAAGCGCAGAAATATCTTCATAGATTCTTGAGTTACCAGAATTGATATTGTTTATTGAACTACTAGGACCAACAACAGCGATACCAGTCATATCATTTTGAAAAAGGAGAGTTGTGTCTTGAGGTATGGAGTCTGTGTATTCTGATAGAAAAGCATATTCTGATATTGCTTCAGGTTCAAAAGGAATGATTCCACAGGTTCTAAAACCACTAATTTTATTTTTTACATTTGCTGATTCTCCTTAAGCTAATTTAAAAAGCATAATATAGCCAAATGATATTCCTTGAAGGATTATTGGTCATGTAGTCAGGGCAAGCAGAATATTAGTTCATTTTGGGAGACTTAAGTAAAACACGATCTAATGGTTGAAGCCAACGGCTGGTGTGGAAGGGAATACTTATCAAAATTATTTTGCTATTTTTAGCAAATTTCGGCATTTCAATGCAACTAGTTTGCGATGTGTGTTCATGTAAAAGAAGGAGTACGTTTCCTGCTAGTTGCCTTGGAGTAAAATGGATTTTCATCCAATCAACAAACAAAATAGTATTTAAGTAGCCAACATTTCAGGATTACGCCTAATAAAAGAAACAAGCTAGTCGTAACCAGCTTGTTTGGTTTTATGGTTAAAATTATATTTTAATTTCAGGTTATCTGGTAAATAATAAGCCATGGAGCGTACCGAATCTATGATTGAAATAAATCTTACCGATTGTAGTTTTTTAATATGCTAGTTCTTTTTTTTTAAGTTTTCAATCTTTAACAAGTTGAGTTGTTTTCCATTGGACCTTTAACAAAGGTCTATGCTACGTCCAAGATCCTAGCATTAACTCTCATTTTCTTATTCTCAACATCTTTGACTGAATTTTTCAAAATTTGCTTAGTCCATTCTCCCAGACACAGATAGGTTTTTTATATGTAATATTTAATATAAAAATATAGTTGATCTCTAACAGGATATCCGTCTATCCCAATTGTCAAGGATAGATAGACCATCGTCCCGTTCAAACAAACAAAGCAAACGGCAGGCCATTTTAGGTTAAGATTATAGGTAGATGTACAACGAAAGTATAGGATTGATCTCAAATAGAAATAATTTAACCTAACTTAGCCACATAAAAAAGAAATCTAGTATATAAAATTTTTTAACTCACCAAAAGATTCAAACGATGTTTTCTTCTAAAATACATATGAAAATCATGAGAAAGACTAAGCAACGTTTCGTCTGTTGAAGAGGAACAACTCCACATATCGACTGCAGCGCTACTGTGGCAGACCAGCAGACCAGCGAAATATTCGACCGATCCGTCTATACCGGTGGTCCATCTATCTCCGGCTTACCCTATTTGAAGGTAATTTCGCGGGAATTCTGACCATTTTTAAATAAAATATTTTATGTTCCTAATTTATCCTCCGTAAAAGTCAGTTTTATTTTTTAGTACTCCAGATCTCGTGACCATTCGTGGAAAAAAATTAATATAATTAACGTTAGGCCTAATAAATGCACATTTGGCAGTGATTTATTACTCTTTCTCCCTGTTAATATTAAAAAAGTTTACCAAATATCTTACTTGTAGGACTAGTGCCTAGAAAATCTTCTTTTTTCCGAGATCTTAGAATAAAAGCGCGTTGGCGAGTGCTTAAATACTCCTTGCTATTACACTTTTACATACAGTCGACTGTTGGACACTCATTAAATCGGGGTTAAATATAAAAACTGTTGGATGGATACATACATAAATATCTTTTTCTCTCCCAATCCCTTTGTTGTAACCATAGTAACGTATTTGGAAGTAAACATCGTTTTTAAATTCCCTCTTAATCCAGTTAAAACAATTGTTAATCAAGAATTTTTTCATTTGGTGTTGTAAATGTAAAAGCGTTCTGGCCGTTTATACATTCAAAAGAGTTTTTTATGTTCGGGAGCATTGATTATGAAATACAACCAAAAAAACACGGTATTGATTAATTAAAAGAGGAGCGGAAAGTGTAGCTGGCAATAATATATGCGAATGACGTGACAAGTGATATTTTCCGTTTAATTTGATCAAAATAACGGGCGGACATTGGCGAAATGGGATCGATGAGCGTGTCTATATTCGAAGAATTACTGTATTATAAACCCCACTAAAATACGTAGGCACATTCAAATTGCAGTCTGCTTCCAGCTTTGCTATACTCGTGATATCATTAGTGAGCTTTATAAAACAGTCTGGAATGGTAAATGCTTCTATCAATACTGAAAGTGATGATAGTGCGATTTATTGATTTTCAACAATCGTGACGAAATTTAAAGACCCTTTTACAATACTAGGCTATTGTCGTAACTTTATTTTTGTTCTTTGGCATCATAAATTGATATATAGACAATCAAAATACTAAATACCCAAGCACTCTGAACGTTAATATATATTTGCATTTTGTGTGTCCTACTACATCCTAATACAAGCATGTGCCAGGAAATGGCACATGCTGAAACACATTTTTAAGCGCACATGTGAGACAATACTAACATCTAAACCAACTAAAAGTAAAAATGAAGGGATAACCGAGAAGATTATGGCTCAGTTATATTATGAGCGGGGGTCATTCTTAAAATTGAGAAACACAAGAAAGGATAGATACTAACCAACAAAAGAAGACATAAGGAAGAGAACAGATCTTTAATAAAAAGACAGGTTTTTAAATGTTTCAATTCCAAAAATCCCAGAAATCAAATATCTAAAAAATAAAGAGAAAAAATGAAAATTACATTCAAATTAAAGTTGATAAAATGCACTTGATCAAACTATATTAAAAAATATTAAAATCATCATCATCATCATCATCATTTGGATCTACAACTCTATTCGAGTCTTGGCCGCTTTTACTATTTCCCTCCATTGTTGTCAGTTCTGAGCAGCTATTTCCCATTGCTGTATTCCCATTTGGCTTAGATCATTGGCCTCTGCGTCCTTCCATCTCTTTCTTGGGCGACCAACTGACCTTATGCTATCGGGCCTTTCCGAGAATGTGGCGTTCAGAAGTCTTTCGTCACTCGATCTTAGCACGTGGCCCGCCCATCTTATTCGGTTTGATTTAATGTAGCGTACTATGTTTTCATCTCCATATACTGTCTGGAGTTAATCATTGTGTCTTCTTCTCCATTTTTCTGTTGTATCTTCTCTGCAAGGCCCATAGATATTCCGCAGTATATTTCTTTCCAGTACTAGTAATTTTGTCGTTTCCCGCTGGTTCAGAGTCAATGTGAGACGAAAACATACTAAAATAGGCGCTGTTTCAATAAAAGACTTCAAGTATTGATCTGATATTAAGTTTTATTTGTAACTTTCTTAACTTTGAAATAACCTTACTTATACTAGCTGATGAAAGAGGGAACATGTATTCACAATGAGCCAACAGCTCACCAAGCTGTAAAGCAGATCAACGGGACGTTGACCTTCCATGTAGCCAGCTCTTGAATATAATACACTTACTCCATACTCAACTGAGAATGAACTTGACTGTTAATCAGGGCAAAACGTAAGATAGACTGGACTAAGTTTTGAGCTAAATTAAGAATAACTTTGGACCACGTTTGGACTAACGTTAGAATTACGTTGAAACACGTTTGAATTTACTTAGAAATTAACTCTGGGATTACATAGAATTGACTTATGACATTAATTACATGAAAAAAAAACAAAGTAAAGACAAGCCAAGAAATCAAAAGATAAAAATATAAAGAAATACGAAAGGTATCAAAAATATCTTACCCTCTGATAGGGGTCTCTATAACAGACTACTCGAACTTTACTACATAGTGATTATCGCCAAATGACATAAAATTGAACAGATTACAGAGGGAAATTCTTTATCAGTTGGACACGATGTTGACATTTTTGTTTTTTTTTCTAATTTTTTAAAATAATGTAAAAAAAGAAACAAGGAAAAAGTTAGAATAATAGTTTAGAAAATGTGTTTGAACCAAACTTTAAAAAATCGGTGGAATTTAATTAACTTTAAAAAAATACATGATAATGGAGAGGATAAAAAATGGCACCACAAATTTACTAATTTAGTTACCTTGTTAGGACGCCACAATCTAGTTTTGATGTTTCTAAAAATTAGATTCGCAAATCAACAAAGAATACAAGTATTTCCAGAAATTGTTAGCATGTCACTAAAAAAAACACAGGAGTGCAGCTTTCAGCAGGATAATACAAGATGCCATACTGTTCTGCTTCTTCTTCAGGTGCCATCTCCGCTACGGAGGTTGGCAATCATCATAGCTATCTTAATTTTTGAGGCAGTAGCTCTAAATAGTTGTTTTGAGCTGCATCCAAACCATTCTCTCAGGTTCTTCAGCCATGAAATTCGTCTTCTTCCGATGCTTCTTCTGCCATCTATTTTTCCTTGCATTATGAGTCGCAGGATGCCATACTTATCGCCCCGCATCACATGTCCGAGATACTGTAGCTTTCTTTCTTTAATTGTAAGTTCAATTTCCTTCTCTTTGCCTATTCTTCTCAGTATTTCATTGTTTGTAACTCTATCTACCCAGGAAACCCTCATAATTCTTCTATATGTCCACATTTCAAAGGCGTTAAGTCGTCTCATGGTATCTAGATTTAACGTCCATGATTCCACTCCATAATATAGTACACTGTATACGTAACATTTTGTTAGGCGTACTTTAAGAGCTAATGTTAGATCTTTGCCACATAGGACCTTTTTCATTTTTATAAAATTAGAACGTGCTTTTTCGATTCTGACTTTGATTTCTGCCGTGTAGTCATTATTTTCTGTTATAAGTGTTCCTAGGTAAGTGTACTTTTTTATTCTTTCGATCTGCTGGCCCTCTACTATCAAGATTTCGTTAGTATTATAGTTATAGCCATACTGTTGCCTACACTCAAACTTGGATATAAGAATACTATTTAGCAACATTTACATAGCCGATAGTTTAGCTTAAAGTAAGCAAGAATTTGCTTACTTTGAGCTAAAGTACTATTAGCTTATTACGAACTGCTTATTATGGTATAACATCTTACCACAAATAACAAAGTAAATAAGGAACAAGCTCAATACATATCCAGGAAAACCTATTCAAAAATATATCAATGGAAAAAGAAAAATTTATGCCAGACAATAAAATCATCAAAAAGATCAAGACAAAGAGGATCAAAAAGTCATCATAAAATCTTTTTCTCCAGTACAACAG